TTTTTCTGAAAGACAGATCCTTTTCAAGAATAGACATGATTTGGATTTCAAAAAATTTGGCTACTAAGGTTTCTAAAGCAGAGATACTACCAAAAACTTTTTCAGATCATAATCCTGTGAGTTTGGTTTATAAAAGGAAATCTAGTTCTTTTAGATGGAGACTAAAGGAAACATTGCTACAGAAAGAAGCAATAGTGGAGGATTGTAAAATGAAAATAATTTTTTGAAAATAATTTAGATAAAGGAACTGATTTAAGAATCGTTTGGGATGCAAGTAAAGCTTTTATTAGAAGTTATTTTATACAACATAATAGTGAACTCAAAAAGAAGAGTCAAGAGAAAACACAAGCTACTTTGAATGAGATAAAGAGAAAAGAAGAATTAAAGAAATTTCCAGAGAAGATAAATACTTCTCAACAAATTAAGCTTTTACAATGATAGTTATCTATATTAATGGTAAGAGAAATGGAAATGAACTATGTAAAACAAAACAAAAAATTGTATTTGCAAGCAAACCAGGGAAATGGTTGGCATATAAATTATGAAAAGAAAAAGAAATGATATTGAAATTACAAGAGGGAAATACTGTATTAATGGATAGCACGGCTACACAAAAAGTATTTCATCAATATTATTCCAACTTGTATAAAGGAAGTGACATCTCTCTGGAGAAAACAGATAAATATCTAAAGAAATGAAATTTACCAAGAGATTAATATACAATTGAGACCAGAGGTTTTTCATTTGGGACTGATGGACAAACAGCTGGAAAAAAGTCATGGAACATAGTTTTTATATATGATAACTGCAGCGAGATTATTGTATGCACAAAGATGGAAAAATTTTGCATTACCCACAATTGAGGAATGGTTGGTGCAAATGATAGAACTTGCTTGAGATGGCCAGTTGATTTCTTTGATCAGAGAAAAGGCAGTATGTACGTTTATTGTTGACTGAAAATCCCTTATAGACAGATTATAGAAAGAAGAGAGTCATGTTATAACTTTAGAGTAAGAGGTAAATTTATAGTTGTACTTATAACTGCTGGAAGGAAGATTGGAAGCCACTTCTTTGTATCTTTTTTCTTTCATTTCTATTTTTCTTTTACTTCTTTTTTCCTTTCTTGCACTTTTAGCTTTCTTTCTGATTTTTCTTTTCTTCTTCTTACTTTATATTAGTTTTAGTTTTTAATCTTCCTTTTTAAAACTTTTAATAAAATTATATAAAAAAAGAAAAAGAGACGCCAGATGTTCAAACTGGTTTTAGAAAAGGCCGAGGAACACAAGACATTGTTGCTAATACATGCTGGGTAATTGAGAAAGCCAAAGAATACAAAAGAGAAGTTAGTATGTGCTTCATCAATTATTGAAAAGCCTTAGAATGTGTCAATCACATCAAGCTGTGGAAAGTGCTCAGAAAATGGGAATCCCAGAACATCTCACTGTCCTCATGAGAATCTTACATACAGATTAGGAAGCCACAGTATGGACAGAACATGGCAAAACAGACTGACTCCAGGTTGGCAAAGGAGTGCCACAAAACTGCATACTCTCTCCTTATTTATTCAACCTATATGCTGAATATATATTAAGGGAAGCAAGATTGGAAGAAGATGAGCATGATTTTAAAACTGGAGGAAAAAACATCAATAACCTGCTCTATGTTGATGACACTACCCTGATAGCCAAAAATGCAAAGGATTTGCAAGCTCTAGTAGTAAAGGTCAAAGAGCACAGTGAAAAACTGGGACTAAAATTAAATATAAAGAAGACCAAACTAATGACAACAGGTAGAACAATGAGCCTTAGAACTGACAATTAAGATATTGAGTGGTGGATAGCTTCTGCCTTTTAGGATCAACCATCAACAGTAAAGGGATAAGCAGTCAACAAATATGCCACAGACTAGCACTTAGTAGAGCAGCCATGAAGTCCTTGCAAAAGATATTCAAATGCTGTAATGTGTCTAGACCTACAAAGATCAGAATCAGGCAAGCCATGGTATTCCCTGTGACACTCTATAGAAGCAAAAGTTGGACTTTAAAGAAGCAGGATAGGAAAAGTATGGATGCCTTTGAACTTTGGTGGTGAAGAAGACTCCTGAGAATACCATAGACAGCCAAGAAAACAAACCAACGTATCATCAAACAAATCAACCCAGAGTCCTCACTCAAGGCACAAGTGACCAGGGTCAAATTATCTTACTTTGGACACATTATGCAAAGACCCAGCTCTCTGGAAAAGGCTCTAATGCTGGGAAAGGTGGAAGGAAAGAAAGGAAGAGGACAATCAGCAGCAAAGTGGATGGATTCAGTTACAGTGGCAATAAGTGTACCATTGGGAGACTTGAGAGAACAGGTGAGGTTCATCACCATGGAGAAAATCTATGTTGTCACTAGGAGTTGAAAACGACTTGATGGCACATAATCAATCAAAAAACAGCTTTTCATCTAAAAAAACATAAGATAAGCAGAAGCATAAAATGTTTTACAAAATAGTAATTTATCATCCCAGCAACAGTAATTTAATGAAGCCATTCCAACTTCACAGAAACTCTTGCAAACAGCTCAAGTTGCTTTATAATCACCAAAGCCATCTTAACTATCATTCCTTCTATCAGTGTTTCACAATCTCCAGTAATAATTCTTCATTTCTCACTACTTGCCTTGATTAAAAAATTCTTCTGTTACTTTTTCACTCCACTGTTTGCTTAGCTCCCAGGTCCGACAGGGATTACAAATATCAGCACACTTCAAAGCCATCTAGCAAACAAATAAACACATTATTTAGCTGTAGTTTGCCATACACTTCATGTTTAAGCTTACAGTTACCTTGAAATATCCTAAAACCAAGATAACAAGTAAATGATAATGAATAATGAGAGCTATAGGCCGTATACAATTAAATGAGATATACCATTAAATTCAACAGAGCCTGAGTTTAACTACGTTAGTGTTTGGCCAATGTGTAAAATGAGAAGGAAACCAAACAAGATGAAGTCAGACAGAAATTAATGTACCAATAGAAGAGAAGGATGCCACAGAAATTAATGTAACACCAATGTAACACTGAAATGGACCTGGAGTAATGAAAATATAAAACCATTCCATTATGTCAATGGCACATAATTTCTGAGGGAGGATGGGGTGGAATGATCCAAAAGTTGTAAGTTAAAAAATTAAAGGGAATAAGAGAATTATCACATGGAAGTATTATGGGAGGCAATTCCAGTCATAAGGCTGGAGGAAAAACAGGTAGAAAAAGAAAACATTAGGATAACTGAGTGATGATCATTCATTAGCACAGTTCAATTAACCTTCAGTACTTCTGATAATAAATTACAGATTATTATTTTGATAAAACATAGCAATCCATAAAATATTTTAAATATTGTACCCTGTTATAAGGCTTGCACAGCTTTTGAGAGCTGTCACCTGATTGGATTTTCTTATCTGAAATGTCAGATGTTGCCTTCATGTAATGATTATACTATTTGAAAGAAAAAAATGGCCTTGGCAGCAATCTCTTATATTAACTTATAACTACACTATTTTGCCTGTTCAGAATATGTTCAGAATATGAATTTCAAGTCAAATCAATTTCTGTAGCAATACACATTAAATTCAGAGCTGGAACTGTGGTGAGATCTCAGATTCTACGTAATTGCTTCCCTATTGAATCCAAGCTAAATTATTAAGGCTGAAAAGACATCAAATTCTCCTCCTACAAGATTTTATCTTAAAAGTAAAATATTCACAAATGATAGCATAAACTGCCACAAGAAAAGAATTTAATGTGCATCAATCATTTCATGTAAAAAAGATTAAAGTCTCATTCATTCATTCATTCATTCATTCATTCATTCATTCATTCATTCATTCATTCCCCTGCCCATCTCCCTCCAATGGGGGACTCTGGGCAACTCACACAAAACATTAAAACCATAAATATATATAAATACATAAAACATCAAAAAAATTTTTAAAAATACTAAAAAAAAAAGGAAAAGGAGAGTCCAAGAAAATGAAGAATCTGGGGCTGAAGACAGCAGGCCTCTATGGGGCTAGCCATCCCCCCACTTGAAGTATTCCCTCCCCACCCCAGGCCAAGTGACAGAACCAGGTGTTCAAAGCCCTTCAGAAGGCCAGGAGTGAGGGAGCCAATCGCATCTCTGGGGGCAGAATGTTCCAAAGAGCAGGGGCTACCGCAGAGAAGGCCCGCCTTCTGGAC